GTAAAAAAAATTCGAAAACTTCGAACGCTTCGAATTTTTATAGACATGAAGTTCGAACAATTCGAAGATTTCGAATTTCTTTTTGCATGAAGTTCGAAAAGTTCGAAGGTTTCGATTCTCTTTTAACGTTAAAAAAAAAAAAAAAAAAAATCTTCGAAGATTTTGAATTTTTTTTTTTAATCCAAGTTTTTCCACAGTTTCAGTTACAAATAACGTTTTCACGACTCACTGGTTTTCACAAAATCAAGTTTAGAAAAGTTAGGGTGTGATATCTAGATTCTGCGAAGTTGGTCAGGCAATTAAATGAGGCGACGAGTGTCCCGGACGTGCTAGAATATTTGCCAGTGCAGAATTGTGACCGCCAGCCCTGGGGGGGGGGGGGGGGGGGGGGGGGTCTTCAACCTGCATCACGCAGTAGTGATTGCACGAACACACTGCTTTACGAGACTCATCCAGTTCGAAACGGCCAGGGGCAAGCAGGAGGTTGAGTCTCAGAAAAACTTTGATGCGACCTGGCAAACTAGCTCGCCACCCCTTGCACGCTGGTAGTAATCCGATCCGGTGAAGTTTATAATTGTCCTGGAGGTTTATTTTCTGGGACGGAAGAATCGCCTTGCAAAAAGCACAAAAGCCGACACAACTCGAGGTCGAGGAGCGTTCTACCATGCAAGTGGCGTCGGAAGAGGAAAAACGGGGGGAAAGAGGGTAGCGAAGGGGGGAGGGAGGGGGGGGGGGGGGGCTTCAGCATCCTTCTCCCCCTTGCAGGTATTTCGGACTGTAAAAGAAAACAATACGGGGAAAGAGGGCGTGGTCGAGCTTATTTTAATCTGAAATTATTTATGCATATGTATAGCTACTGTCGCTCTTCACTGCATAAAAGGTTCCGTAGATGGTCATTGTTAGAAACTCGTTGTCAGAAGGCACTGCTCGTCACATGCTTAGTGGTTCGGAAGTTCAAAGCTGTCTTTTCGACCTAAACACCTGTGCCGATAGTTACAAAAAAAAATAAATAAATAAAAATAAATGCGGAAATAAACAGCAGAAAAAAAAAACTATCAAGAATTCGTCGGAAGTGTTCTATTCTTGCATATTCAGAGGTTCAGAGCTTCGAAACAAGTTTCTTTTACCAAAATGTGTACAGGCTAAAAGAAACATGACCCAGGAACGTGAAGCGAAAAAAAAAATGTTTTCTTTTAATGACGTGCTGAACTTGAACACTATTAGAAATCTTCTCCCATGAGTTAATTTATTCCTTAACGTGAAAAAACAATGAATATATTATTTTGTATTCTGCAGATGGCAATGATATGTACTGTCTGTGGTGTTAATTTAAATGCGGTACCTCAAACAACTTAGACGAAAATAAATATCAAGTTTAGGTCATAATTGCATGCAGATACATGTTTGGACATTTCTTCAAAACTCACGTTGAATAACAATAATCCATCTTAAGACGGCACTTACCTAGGCTATACATAGATCATTCTTAAAAAAGTATAACATATCTACCATAAATAGCTCCGGCTGCAGCGTGCTTCAAATCTGGCACAAACGATAATCGTCAAAAACCCGTCGTCCTTCCTCGCCCCTTCGGGGATTTATTTCTTTAAACCTAAGCATTCCAGAGCACTGAAATAAACGACATTGTCTTTCGTAAGGAACGCAGCACCGCGTGTAAAAGTTCGAGAAAAAAAATTACGAATGTACACCATTACTGAAACCGTCCGCCGGTCTTTCGAAGTTCGACGAACGTCGAACTTTTACCCTAAAAGTTCGAAGTTCGTCGAACTTCTGACTTTTCAGAATTCGAAAGTTCGAAACTTTTCGAATTCTCTCGATAAATAAGTTCGAAAGTTCGAAATTCACCGAATTTTTTGGTCAGTCAAGTTCGAAAGTTCGACAAGCATCTAACCTTGCAGCGCAATAAGTTCGAAAGTTCGAAAAAGATAAATTTTTTTAGCGTAATAAGTTCGACGGTTCGAAAAGCGTCGAACTTCTTAGCTTAACAAGTTCGAAAATTCGACCTCCGTCGAATTTTACGATATAGAAAATTCGAAAAATCGAAATCTTTCGAACCTTTCGAACCGCTTGATTCGAGCATCGAAACTTCGATTCGAAAAAAGGTCGCGGCATCCCTAGTGCCAAGCTTGCGCCAAAGGACCAATTTCGGTCACCTTTCGGACCAATTTCGGTCACCGTTATTGAGCATGCATGATCTAGGTGGCGCAAGCGGCCGCCCAACACAAAGTACCTTGCATCAATTGTCCATCCGGTCTTGCATGGTTTTCCCGCCGTCTCGCATTTCGCCTTCTGGTCGTCTCGTAGGTCGCGTCTCGCATCTCTTTTTTTAACATATTTTCAACGATAAACTCGGGTGTGCGCGGACGTTCCGACGCTAGCGTGCTGGGTACCAGCTATGCCGTCATTCTGTGAAACGAAACCACGTTTTCGTGCGGCGGGAGTTACTTTGTGAGCTGAAGCACTCGCTCCTGACAGCAACGGCCGTAAAACACTCCTAGGTCGCCACCATAATGCTGATGCTGATGCGGCTGGTGCGACTTTCGTGCCCTCTATCAGCTAGAAATTTTCTGACACTTTCTTAGACTATGAAGACCCGCTCAGCGCGGTTCTCTACCTAGGTTTTTGCGGTTTTGTATTCAACGTTTTCTGGCCCCTCTTGAAAGTTTCCACTTAATTTGTTTTATGCGTGCTGCGCACCCTTTCAGTGTTATCTTCCATTGTGAGAAATAAGGCTGGTAAGTGCCTGCCATTCAAGCTTTTCTGCTCGACATTCACGGGAAACGAAGGAGGTGAAGGACGTCGAACGACCCTCGAAGCGATTTTGAGATTGTTGTTTTCCCCCCTTCCAAAGATAATCCGCGTAGAATCCTCAGTCACCTCCAAAAATAGTTGTCCGGGTTGGGGTGGGAAACGGGTCAGATGCATTCGTTCCTTTGACTTGGTGCTGTTGTGAAAAAAAGAAAGCGCTCCCCAAAACGTGCCCCAAAACAAAGTCATCTCGGATGCGACTGTTGTCAAGTGTGACTGTATTATTTGAGATCTTTCTCAAATAAATTCTTTTTGGATAACGCTGCATCGTGTGGTACGTACAATATATTGTTTGAATGTTAACACTTTCTGAATTGAATGTCCATGCCCTGTCCATCGGTAAACACATTATTTGTGAGTGTGAAAAGTGCATACCTTTCGGCTCTCTTCTGGTGTAATTTATTTTTGACAGCCAAGCGCTTTGTCGTTTGTCATGTGGCGAATCGTGCGGAGCCGTCAACACTTATTGTAAAAAAGCGTACAGAAAAACTAGAACTATACATTGAAGTTGCATTCTTTGCGACTTCAATGTATGGCGCTTTCTAAAATGAAACTAAGTACCGCCGCATGTTCATCAACATTCCTGTTCTTGTTTAAATCATACGTTACTATAAAAGTCCCTCTTTAACTCAAGGACAGCTGTGTCGAAGTATTGATTACCTAGGTTTCTCTCGGTGGGCTTTCTTTCGAGAGGGACCCCAATAAATGAAAAATCTGCCACAAAAGGAAGTCCGTGAAGAGAAGCGAGCTAAAGCAAAGAAAGCAATGTCTGCATACTGAACCCGCACAGCGCGCTTGTTTGTCTTGAGTTCAGCCGTTGCACAAAGCGCTCCAAGATCTTTTTGACCCTGGCTCGCGATGTCTTGCATCCATGAGCGTACCAACCGGGGGGTCCAAGTGCTTGCCTCCCCCCTCCAGTTCTCAGAGTGGGGGGGCGAAGCATGTTTTGCCCCCCCCCCCCCCCCCCGAAACAGCTGCCACCTGGCAGGGAAAACACTGGCCGGTGGCGCCCAAAGGATACCCAAGGGCACCGGCCCCCGGCCTCTGGGGGGGGGGGGGGGGGAGGTTTGGTTTGTCCCCCCACTCAAAAGCAAGTTGATACGCCACTGCTTGCATCAATGCGCTCAGGTTATATTTTTTTTTTTTTGTTTCTTGTGTGTGTTTAGCTTGTATTTTGTTTGCCGGCCCGGCAAGCACGCGCCGCTGGACTGTTCTTTGTCGTATGCTCGACAGTTACATTTTGCATACAATTTTGGGAATCCGTTAGCGGCGGAGCGGAGTGGCATGGTTTCGGTTTCGATCAAACAGCCGTCCTCTCCACTCGCGCAACGTAGCACGCGCGCAACTACAAGCCTGCCGAAGTTGTCCTCACGTGCATAGAGGCACCAGCCGGGACGCTTGCAATCGATTGTTTCACGTTTGCTTAGTTTTGACAAAAATCTGGTATGTCAGGAACCAGTAAAACGGTGGCAAGAGGTTTTTCGGAATTGCTCGGCAATGCCTACAGCACTGTACACTTCTGGGATGTCTCAGCAGTGGAACCACAAGCAGCGAGTTCCGTCACAACAAGGCACAACACAACATAAAGTGCTCTTCGTTTGTACAGCACTGAAAACAAATGTTTTTATTTTTTTTTAAGAATATCTGCTTCAAAAGGCACTTTTGGTGCTCCGAAACATTGTCTTGGCTGCTCCAAAATCCACTTTTGCTGCTCCAAAACACTGTTTTGGCTGCTTTGAAAGGTGCTCCAAAATGGCTTAGGCCAATCACATCACTAAGAATGGAAAAAAAAAAGTTATTTACATTGTATTACATTTTATGACAAGTAATTCCATACCCTTTATTTATAGTAAACAAACAAACCTGAAGCCAGTGTCTTGTTTTCCTGAAGAAGGCATTACTCTGATAAGGCACTCTTGTGGACAGTATGAGCTGAAACAATCCTTCATGTTTTTGAGAGAGCCGTGGTTCGACCTAGGAGCGCAACGCAAAATTGGATTCTCACACTTTGGACGTTTCGACTAATTGAGAGATAACGAAGCTGTTGAGGACCGCAGATGCGAAAAAAGGCAGAATCGGGTGTTTCAACTTGTATTGTCCGTGGGGGCATGTGCATGCAAAGGCAGCCTAGCATGCAGCTCAGTCGTCCTCCTATGGTTGGTCTTGCGCAGGAGGGGACGTGAACATCACCAACAGCCTCACGGGCCTATCCCTGCTCCACGAAGCCGTGACGAACCTGGACGAATCCAACTTCGACATCTTCCGCTCTATCCTGGATATCCTGCTGAGCGCCGGGTGCCGCATGAACGCCGAGAGCGGCACCACGGGTGACACGCCCCTCTTTCGCTCTATCATTGCCAACAAGCTCCTCTTCGCCGAAGAGCTGATCCGAGAGGGATGCGACGTCAACTGCGGCAACGTCTACACGTGCGCCATCGACAACCTGTGGCTGGCCAAGCGGCTCCGAGAGCTGAGGCTGGTGAAGATGATCGTCTATGCGGGCTACGACCTCAACAGGTTTGCGGTGCCAGACGCCGAGGTGAACCAGAATGTGCTGGGGGCACAGGAGACGGCCATCAGGCACTGGCTGCGCACCGTCAAGACGAATCCGCTCAGGCTATCCGAACTCTGCCGCATTACAATCAGGAGACGGCTGGGTCAGAGTCTGGTGTCCAAGGTGTCCCGACTAGTTCTACCGGCCAGCATGAAGGACTTCCTTCTTCTCGACGATGTGCGTTGCGAACTGGCCGAGGCATCCGTTCGTTTCGTGTTTTGGTAGGCGACGTAACAATTGAGAGTTGTTTGATCGTAGACGAACGAAAGGGCGGCGAAATATGTGCGCGATTCACTGTCTTACGTGCCTCCCGAAAGCTCGGACAAACGTGCCTGGGGCCCTAAGCTGGACGGTGGGGCCGGGACATTGCCGCCCGCCAATGTAGAAAGCGTTGGCGCTGACCAATCGCAATGAGTGATGATGTTCCAGTCCCTTGGTTCCATTGTCCAACTTAAGGCCCCTGGTGTGACTGGGTGGCTGTGCGTTGCAGTCGCCCGGCCACACTAGGGTGCATTCTGTACAGACATCTCAACTGTTTAATTTATTTATCTTGTTCACATTTGTTCCTTTGTTTCCTTGACCATAAAACTATATCTATCAATTCTTGGTTCTTATTGATTAGTGTGAAATTTATTCTGAAGCTCTGAGGTCGGCGCAGGTGGGAAGCTTGCAAGCATCTACAAGCTCAATACAGTGCAGAGCATTGCTTCTGACTGTGTCCGCAAAAATAATTCTGGCTGTACAGGTCGGTCATCTAGTGTAGTTTGCTGTCAGGAATGTGACACATGTCGCAAATGGTACATCAGAAGTGCTATTCAACTGATGTGCACAAGACTCTCAAGCCATAGCAAAGCTGCAAGCTAAGCTGGAATGTAATTTTGAAGTGCTTGTGTTGTACACGGCATAACAATGTAAGGGTAGATAAGCCATAGAATATTTTCTCAGCATTGAAGGACTGTCATCAGAACTACTATAGTGATAGAGATTGCTCAGTTGCGGTACTAACCTCAGTGGTAAATGTTAATGCCCACCAGTCCCTTTCAATACAACATGTAAAAAAGTGACAAAGTTGTGTTTGAACTAACAACGTTGTGCAGTGCACATATTGCATACCAACTTCAACAATCCTCACAAGAAAAACACAAATTTTACCTTATTTGTAAGTTTTATGTCCCAGAGCCCTTTGGAATGAATGCATACTGTGAAAAATAGAGATGGTAACATCAAAAGCCTCTCGTCATAAGAACCTACCGTAGTGTGCTCATATCCTGGTTTTTGAATTTTTCCACAAATACCCCTATCAATTCCTTGTACTTTCTTCTATCTTGCTCAATTTTTATTCTTACTGCTTTTTTTTTTAATGCAAAACGTGTTTTAGGGCTGTTATTGAAGTCTAGAGCCTTGTTAAAAATGAATGACAGTTTTCACTAACACGACCAAGTCTCCCCTGGCACCTGACAGGCGAGACCCGGAAAACTAAAATCACATCGTCACTTGCCAGGAATCGAGCCCAGGGCCTCTCGCTCCATAGTCCAATGGCCTTACCCTGCACCAGTAGGGCAGCTTGGATGCATGTCGTTATAACAGCCACATACTCGCGGTGCCCTGATACTTAGCATAAAGCCAACTGGTGCAGAATGCGCCACGTGTCCATCTCGGATGCTGTATTTCCCTATCACACTCCAAACAATTCATAGGCTTAACTCCACTCTTTACTGTCCCATTCCTGGCTGTTACCTCTGCACAAGTTCCACCCATTCACTCTCTCTTGCACACCGCTGCCACCCTGGCTCTTCCCTTTCCCCCACTCTCCATTTCCCTAGCCAAACTGTCCCCGGAGTGTTCTCAACTGTCCTTTGTGCCCTCCTATCCCTTGACTCTCACACAGCATCCATAACAACTTAACCCAAAAGCCAAATAGGCAAAACAGATTGAAATAGGTTCACACAAACCCACAATGAATTTTGTGTCAGTAGGCTTTATGTGAAGTATCGAGGTAAGTGAAATTATTTTGTTCATGATCAGCCTCGAGTTTATTTACCAATGAGCCCGCTGATCTTCCTTTGCTCTGGTGTCCCATCTGTGCCCTCCATAAGTCGAGAGTTAGCACAATCTAGCCGTGTCATTTAGAGGGTGTTGCATCGACCTCCCCTTATTCCCCTCACTCATACTCTAATTGCCTCTTATATTCCCGGTACAAATTACACAAATTACGATCCAGTGCACAAAAGAGGAACTTTTAGCAGAATGTTGGCTGCATTTCAAAGGGCGGTTGACACACTTGCGACTACCTACGACCGGAGAGGCTAAAAGCCTTTTTCTAAGCCTTTGTGACTGCTTACGACCACTGCAAAAATCTTAAGCAGTCACAAAAAGAAAAAAGAAACCGCTTTTTAGTTTTTTTGGCCTTAAGCAGTCGTAAGTGTGTGATTTTTGTTTAAGTTTTTTTTTAATACTCCGTTTCACATTAAGCTTGATCGCAGCCAAGGCTACTATCCGGTTGAGCCACTCAAGCAGTGCCAAAAGTGTATCGTGGCGTTCGTCGTCTGCGCGTTTCGCATCGGCGGCTAAACCAGTTGCGCATTGTAAATGTGTCGTGATCCTGCATTGTTTTGCCGTACATGATTGGTATAGTCAGTGATGGCAAACGTGCAAAGCCGTGGAGTGCCGTGACGATGCACTTTTGGTGCAGCTTGACTAGCTTCATCAGATCGTATATTGTTGGTTATGGTCGGACTTTCCAATGGAGAGTTTTAGGGAACCGGTTTTGCACATTCGATACGGTGCGATGGGCCCTCCGATACGAACTGCGCATGCTGTACCGCGTAAGGCTTGCGCATGCGCAGTTCGGTTTCCTAAAACTCGCTCTTGGGAAACGGAGTATACCAAGGCATGTTTTCTTGACTCAGTATGCGTTTGCAAGCAATCTTTATTGTCCCGTTTCTGACTTCACAAACAGGATTGAAACTGGTAATTCGGTTTAGTTATGCACTGGGCATGCAATGCAGCTACCACCTGGCAGCTGCGACGAGTGCAGAGCGAGCCCGATGGTCTCCATTACTTTAAGTCATCATCCTCTTCATTGCATAATATGCATTATGTGCAGCCCGGCACTTCCTTGTATGAGATCAAAACCCCACTTCTCTGTAGGTTTTCTACTTTTGAATAAAAACCTAATTGGGTGGATTATATAAAGTGCTGCCTGTCTAACATCGACCATTTCCTTTGTCGGTGGCAATCGGCATGTGTGGGCACTAGAAACTTCAGAGCGTCGGTTCAACTATTCCTGTATGCTTATTAACCTTGGATAGAAAGAAGGGTGTGTGAATATGCGAGTTTGGATTTCCAATCGAACAGTGATGTTCCGGACAATTTGATCCGATTTTCGAATTCGTAGTATTCAAGTTCTCAAGTAATTCGACATATTGAATAATTATGCTGCTGGACAACATTTGGGTTTGTTCACAAACGCCTTCTCTTTGGTGACCAAGTCCTCGGAGGCGTTGGCTGGATATAAATTGAGCCTACGTTGAGAAGTATTTACTGATTAACCATTCCCGATAAAAGTTGTTTATTTGTTTAGCGCCGTTGACTCGTTCCGGGATGAACCGTTCGCGTTAAGACGACACGCTAAAACTATAATGATCAAACCGCGATCCCACAACTTCTCGCGGTGCCGTGTTGCCAACAAATCGCTTCCCACCAGTATTCCATCCCGTCGTAATAGGATGGGTAAAGAAAATGATGACCCAAAATTAAATAATATGCACTTGGACGTAATTTCAAACTTTCAGTAAAACGAGAAACGGTAGCGACTTTAGTCAGATCTACACTGTGTTCAGATCCCTGCTGGATTATGTTCATGGGCATTTTGCCGAATAAGATAAATAATTTGATCAAAAAGATACCTTTGATCTTTTCTTTTTTTACTACTCTATACAAAATCTTCTAGAGTTTAGACTGTTCTTGTTGTGTTTCGTTTTAAGTCATGAAAGTTAGGCAAGTGCCGCCTGAATGAATCGTTACAATAAGTCCTTAAATTAGATCTGTTAATTTTGAACTAGTGAAAATAAACATACGGTTTCATGTACAAACTTAATGAGCGTCACCCAAAAAACACTAAATTAGTAAATTTGAGAACGTCTTGGGAGCCCGTGGGAAGCACACTGGTGTGCTAAAGTTGCCACTCGTACAGCAGAGAAACGCGCCCAAGCGGTGCTTTTCCGTCTCTTATCGTCGGCGGTTTTCCACCGCCGGGCTCTGTTGCGTGGAGCCTGGCAGATCTCCACGAGAAGCGACCGCCCAAATTGATAAGGTGGAGCGGTAAACAACAGATGACAGGAGAGACACGTGACTGGCGCCCCGCTGCGGCGAGACGCCGAAACACACTTCTCCCGAGTGAACAAGTGTGTTTCGGGTCCTCGCCGCTGCAAAAGCTGTGCGCTGAGTTCCAGGTTCTCCTAGAAATGTCTCTTTGATGCTCTGTGCTACCGTATCCTTGCGCTCCAAATCTGCGACCGGGCACTCTATGACTCCGCCGTCGAACTGCCAGGATTTGTGAGTATATTGGCGACGTGAGCGATCGAAAGCGTCGCTGTAGTCGGCCTTCCACGATTGGCCGAATGCTGACTATGACGTCAGCAAAGGATTTCTCATGGACGAAAATAAGAGTATTGGAAGAACTTCAATTTCGATGGTGTTGACAGCGTTGGTTTTTAAGCGCAATGACTTCAAGCTTCCACCAGGCTCATAACAAGCACCATCCAACTTTTTGTTCGCAGGGTAATAACGTCACGAAAGGGAACCATACGAGGGCGCCACCAAAAACATCTCGCCGCCAATAGAGGAGGGAGGCTACGGTGAAGCTTTCGCTCCGCGCGCGGAGCGAAAACTGACGCAGCAGAATCTTGGGTTCCATTCCCAGCCCTTCCAGTCTCGATCTGGATAACCATCCTACCGGCGTGTGGTCGTGTACTGCGTTATGAAAGGCTAGCAGTTGAACTACACTGGCAAAATGTATCGTCTACAGCCGCGACACCAGGCGCCCATTTGGGGCTGGCTACCTTCCGGCTGTCTAAAGACAATTATTATTATTCTTTCTAAATCACTGTGTTACTGCAGTTTCCTCCCTACAGTGATGTGATTGCTGCGCCAATTGCGCTAAGGGGCTAACCCTGCTACATCCTGCTACATTTTACCAAAATATGGGTAATCTGCGCTAAGCCTGCGCCAAAAAGTCAATTTCGGTCGCCTTTCAAAACCGAAACTAAACCGAGTACCGTAATTGAGCATGACTGTGTTTTGTGGCGCAAGCGGCCGTCCGACACAAAGTATCATGCGTCAATTGGCCATCCGGTTTTGCATGGTTTTTCCGCCGTCTCGCGTTTCGCGCTCTCGTCGTCTCGTGGATCTCGACTCGCGTCGTTTTCAAAAATATTTTCAACGATAGACGCAGCTGTGCGCGGACGCTCCGACGCTAGCGTGCCGGGTACCAGCCATGCCGTCATGCTGTGGTACGAAACCACGTTTTTGCGCGGCGGGAGTTACTTTGTGAGCTGAAGCACTCACTCCTGAAAGCAACGGCCGTGGGAAAACTATATTTGGTCCTTGCCTTCTGGTCAGCGTGATCGCGTGACGTCGGGTGTTGCCGTCCCCACGTCGCCGCACATATGGCGCTTTCTAAAATGAAATTAAGTATCGTAGCGTGTTAATCAACATTCCTGTTCTCGTTTAAATTATTCTTTGCCTGGGTGCGGTTGTGAAAAAAGGAAGCTCTCTCCAAAACGTGCCCCAAAACGAAGTCATCTTGGATTCCGTCCGATCGTCAAGATGTGACTGTCGTCGATTGGGACTGTGTTATTTTAGATCTTTCTCAAATAAATTCTTTTTGGATAACGCTGCATCGTGTGGTACGTACGATATATTGTTCGGATGTTAACACTTCCTCAATTGTATGTCCGTGTCCTGTCCATCGGTAAACACGTTAGTTGTGAGCGTAAGAAATGCATGACTTTCGACTTTCTTCTGTTGCAATTTATTTTTGACAGCAAAGCGCTTTGTCGTTTCACATGCGGTGAATCTCGCGGCGCCGTCAAAACTTATTGTAAGAAAAAACACAAATACTATACATTCCAGTCGCATTCGTTCTGTCGCGCGCGTACCAAACAAAAATAGTTAAATTTTTTTTTTTTTCAAATGTGGTACAATGCTTTTTCAATGTCCTTGGGAAAATACATATACCATGAAACACAAAATATAGCGGGAAAATACGATAATTTAGCCACCAGCAGCGTTTTAAACTGCGCCTACGCAGGCTGCGCCTATTGAAATCACTGTCCACTCGGTTAGGGTTAGGAGGGACGCCGGTGAAAGTCTAGCCTCAAACTCAGTGACTAGGCTCGAAAACCGTTTGTTGCCCCTGGGTTCGAGTGTCTTTTAGAAAGGTGTATAAAAGTCCCTCTTTAACTCAAAGACTGCTGTGTCGAAGTATTAGCGAGTTTTAAAATAGGGGTACCAACAGCTTTGGGTATTCCAAACAGCTTGGGGCGTCCCACTGCGCATGCGCTGAACTTTTGCGCATGTGCTGAACTTTTGCGCATGCCCACTGCGATGCCCCGAGCTTTTTGGGGCACCCAAAGCTGTGGGGCCCCCTATTCTAAAACTCGCCATTGATTACCTAGGTTTCTCTGGTGGGCTTTCTTTCGAGAGGGACCCCGGTACTTGAAAAATCTGCAACGAGAGGAAGTCGGTGAAGAGAAGTGAGCTAAAGCAAGGAAGGCAATGGCCGTGTTCCAAAATTTACTCGATCTTACTCCAGGCGTTCTAAAACCTACCCTAGGGTGCCCTCATGTCCCGCTTCGTGAACATGAAGGCACTCTAACCTACCCGCGTCCAGCTTTTTTCAATCGGTGCTTTCAAGTGATATGTTCCGCCGGAGTAACTCGAATCCATTTGGGTAAGATTTGGAACACAGCCAATGTCTGCGCGCTGAACCCGCACAGCGCGCATGCTTATCTCGAGTTCAGTCGCTGCACAAAGCGCTCCAAGAAACTTTTGACCCTGGCTCGCGATGCCTTGCATCGATGCGCTCAGGGTCAGTCTGTCTGTCTGCGTGCGTGCGTGCGTGAGTGCGTTTAGCTTGTACCTTGTTTGCCGGCCTGGGAAGCACGCGGCGGTGGACAGTTTTTCGTCATATGCTCAACAGTTACATTTTGCATACAATTTTGGTAATCGGTTAGCGACGAAGCAGAGTGGCATGGTTTCGGTTTCCATCTCACTGCCGTTATCTCCACTCGCGCGACGAAACACGCGCAACTGCAAACCTGCAGAAGTTGTCCTCACGTGCATGCGAACTTGATTGCACGACAGAGGCACCAGCCGGGACGCTTGCAATTCATTGTTTTAAGTTTGCTTACTTTTGCCGAAAATCTGACACGTCGGGAACCAGTAAAACGGTAGCAAGCAAGGTATCGGAATTGCTCGGTAATACAGCAGTGTACACTTGTGGGATGTCTCAGCAGTAGAACCACAAGGAGCGAGTTTCGTCACAATAAGTCGCATCAGAGCACAACACAACACAAAGTGCCCTTCGTTTGTACAGCACTTAAAACGAATATATTTTTTTTATAAGAATATCTGCTGCAAAAGCGACTTCTGCTGCTCCGAAACATGGTCTTGGCTGCTCCGAAATTCACTTTTGTTGCTCCAAAACACTGTTTTGGTAGCTCCAAAGGCCACATTTGCTGCTGCAAAACACTGTTGTGGCTGCTCCGAAAGGTGCTCCAAAATGGCTTTGGCCAATCACATCACTGCTCCCTATTTCTTTTCGAATTCTCGGGTTACAGAGATACGCGGGTACTCCTATGTTTGTGAAGGAAACTGAAGGGGGCCGCGGAAACTGAGCATCGACATTGGGAATCCAGTTGTCTGCTCGATTTCCTTACGTCCAGCAGGCTTCTACTAGACAGCTGTTTTACTTCTTGGCTGGCGCGTTCTTCGTCGTCATTGCTCGCATTCCCAAGTTTGAGAGATTTCCATTCATATTTAGAGGCGGATTGCGACGGGGAATGTTTATTTTTTCTAGGAAAGCTTATATAAAACAGTGTCGCTTGGAGGACTGAAATGTGCCTGAACGAAACTGTGCACAACGTATGGAAGAGATCGTAAATGCGAGTGAAAACGAAAAACAA